TATATTTATAGCGACATGAAGGAAGGTGGGACTGTTGAAGCACCAGCAGCCAATGTTGAGAAGACTGTCTCGCATCTCATAACGATATTCACTATTAGATGGGTAGACACAGTCTAGGCAGTATCCACCATGGGAAGTATACCTTATGCACCAAAAGATTGCAAGCAGCCTCAACATGGGCAACTGATAGACAAAACTACTACAAAACTCACTTCTGCACCGCCGCCATAAAAAGCAAGAAGATGGAGCAGATCATCGAGATGAACGTGGTCACCGTCGGCAGCAACACTCCCAGATCTCGCATCGCATCGTCACTGTCAAAGAAGTAACTCTCCTGAAAGCGCTTGACATCATTTACAGCGGAACTCATTACACGAACTTCAGAACGTACCGGCCAACAGTGAGAACACACCCATGTGGTTCGCCTCACATTTCACGAATCCGTGATAGTTGGTGTCCACTCGGCGAATTCCTCGTGTAGACCAGCCTCCTTCTAAAGGTATGAGAATTTCACGCACTCGTTATTTCGACTTCGAAGGCGAACTCCATTTCCTGGTCGACGCGCACCAAAACGCGTTTTGAAATCTCAAAGAAATCGTCTACGGAAAACCCATGATTTTTATTCTCCCGCAGACCACGGCCTAGAACCGTTGTTCACAATAACAACGAGAAGAACAAAAAATGTGCTTGTTTTCGCACACAGTTCAAAAGAAAACCCGCAGGATTGTTGCGCGCGTTCCAATTCCCGCCGCACATCTGTCACAAATGTTGGCAAAGGGAACGACTCACTTGGTTCTCAAAGTGTCTTCCCTGAGAATTCTTTTCCGCCTTTACCCCCTACGACAATAACATTTCTTTTACTGCTCGCCTACCATGGTTTCGCCTCTATTCTTCGAAGTCAAACACTTTGATACGATTCTTTCCATGCGTGGCACTCCAAGGCGCACTCCTTTTCATGCGTTGCCCTGCATTTGTCCAACCTACTCTCGACCGTCCATAGCGTTGCTTATCGTGTGAGTTCGTTTCCCTTCAGAAACCGAATATTCTAGCGCGAAACTTCTTCTAAGTTGTCTTTAGTGGTCACAGCTAACCATACTCATGTTGAGGAAGGAGGCAAAAGTTTCCCAGGACGATTCCTGTGAGGAAAACCAGTTCTCACACAAGGAGCTTCTGAGAGAATGCGAAGCCTGAATCATATCGAAGCCCAGTTGACGTGAACGGCATTTCTTATGCAGATAAAAGCTGCATCAACAGCTCAACTAAGTGACAATCAACTTGCACTGGTTGTTTTGAAAAAATTGTGTGATTTGAACCCACCGGTCTGCGTCAAAGTAGACGCAAGTGTAGTTGTGTCGAAAATCCTTCGGTTTTAGCATGATGGTCCTTTTCGTACAATAGACGTGCTCAAGGTTTCCAGTTCAGTGAGAGGACCGGATTTCTGAAAGTGGTCTATCGGTGTACGGATAGAACTGGCAACCTTTGAAAGGAATTTGCGACTGATAATATGAATTTTTCGACAATGAGTATGTATATTATGTTGCGAAACTTTTCCAGAGTGGAATTTTTCAACAGAGTATATAGAACGTAAAATTCTAGCGCAAGAATCTGTCCACTCCATTGGGGCAGGTAGTTCATGAAGAACCCTAACTCAACTCAGCGAAATAATAAAGCTGTGTCAAGGTGGGGAATTCAAACTCTGAATACCAGGTTTTTTTTGCTTGTGCTAGTTAAAGGCGGATGAACAGTTTGACGGCCGCCTTTATTCGCGCACCGCTTCAACATTTTTCGAATTTTCTCATCAATAGGCATGATCCTTCAGCGTTTTCATTATCAGTAATAAGAAAAATGTTTTTCGGATCCACTAATGTACATGGACCGTTGTGGAATAGGAAGAAACGCCAAATAAATCAAGAAAGACTAGTCTGCTTCATTTGAAACGTGTGGTATGACATCATACCACACGTCGTCACGCAGGTAAACGACGAAGCCTTGGAGAATTTCAGTTAGGGATGGCCCAGCGATGTACGAAAGAAGGAAAACCGAGTAATGACCCAAAGAACCCGACCAATGGCACCCCTTCCTTAACCGTTGATTGGTGCAACTCATCGATGCTGCCCTCTTCAACGCTCACGCTCTCTCTGCTAAACGACTAGAGACTTCAGCCACGAGACGACGAGAGGGCGGGCTTACGGCGGTGTAGCCGCCCAATTGCGCCACGGGAAGGCCATGCTGCATCGCCGAGGCATATCCTTCAATGCCATTGCATGTCGGTCCGTTCCCTTAGGAGGTCTCTCTACTAGGTAAGTTTCCCTTTATTCCATCCCTTGTCCTTATCGTGGAATCCTCCTCTTAAGAGTGAGACTCGTAAAAAGGGTGGACGGTGTCTGCAAATGCCGTGGGGACAACATGAGTAGGTTTCACCAACGGTTTCTAAAATCCTAGAGAACTTCGTGATGAATGCAGTATAGGGTTGATTCCGTCTTTTGCTTCCTCGACATATGTAGAAGATTTTCAGAAGCCCCAATTTAGCAGCTTTTAACAATCCTACTGAGTTGATGTCATTTCCCATCCCTGGCGAGACCGTTAGTCACGGCTTAACATCGTTGAAGTGAAACAAAAAGAGAAAGAAACTGGTTGCAAAACAATGTGCGAACGTACTGTGAACTGATCACGTCGAACAACGAGGCATTGGCCATGCATATGCTTCTCACAATATGGTCGGAGTCGATGGTCGGCAGCTGAGAAAGTACGGAAAAACGATTAAGAAGGGGCTCAAAAGGCATGCACATTCAACACTTACTTTCACACGGCACTTGGTACCGAGAACAGTGTCGAAAATTCTCGCTGTCCTTCACCCACTGCATCGCTTTCAAATGAAGTCCAAGGTCCGGTGAGACCAAAGTGAACGGCGATGGCAGACGCATAGAAAATTCGGACAGGATCGACCACATCTCGGACTGAAAACGTCACTTGTGAATATTTTAAAAGCACATGTGCTCGAGAAAATGCATCATGGTACAGTCAAACGAGTTCAAGTAATTATGTATAATTATTACAACTAAGCTTTATTAGAGTCGAAAAGGAAAAGCGATACAAAGAAAATTTCGTCAGAGCCATTCAAACTCGCAACAACGTAATCAAAAGAAAATATCAAACCTTGGCTAACGTTGTGTTTCCTTGAAGTGAGTCAAAGTCGATCTGAAGAACGGAGTCTCGTATAACAAGAGCGCCTGTTCGGCCGATTTTTGATCGAAATGAGCAGTGACGGTGGGATCGGTCGAAAATGCTGGCACAGTGTGAGCAGATCGCGAATAAACCTGAACAAGGCACGATGAGAGAAATACACATTATGAAGCTTGAAACCGGAAGAGAATTACCTGGGCTACGGTATGAATAGTTGAAACTCCGTTGGCATTGAGGGCAAATGTGCCAAGCATTCCAAGATGAGTCAGGACCGATGCCTGGAAAACATTTGTGAGCTGGATGGAGCCACGAGCTGTTTTTACTACTGTTTCTGCTTCAAAACGTAGAAAATCCCATTCATTGCCTCGGCGCTTTCTCGGGTTCGTGCTTAAGCAGGACACTGGTTTTTTTTGAACCGGGCAACGACTTACGGATTGTTTCTGTAGGAGGCATACACTACCATACTTTAATAATTTAAAATATACACCTATCAAGTAAGACTATAAAACTAAAAGCAACGCCCTCAGAGAGGACGTTGCGCAGGCAGGACGAGCATGCGCTCAGCATTTATCCAACGCGCTGAGGACGATGCTAGGAGTAACCCTATACACGCAAGTGCAGAGGGAATCCGGAACTACGCCAACGATCGAAGATCAGGGACGCTGCCGTTTTCGCCAAGGAATCGAAGATAAGGTGGGCCGGACACGTCATGCGATTTTGCGATGACCGTTGGACCAGAGCGGTTACCGACTGGATCCCTCGGGACGTCAAACGAACACCTGGACGACCGCCGGCCCGATGGTCAGACTTCTTCACGAAAGCTCTGAACGAAAGGAATGAACGGCTTCGTGTCCCTCGAGCAAGGAGGATCCACTGGACCACTCTAGCACGCGACAGGGACGAATGGAGACGTTGCTGGCGCCCGCTCGAGCAAATCGACGATCAACGGGACGACAGGTGATACAGGTGATCAAGTAATGGTACCCGATGAAGGGATAAGAACAGTAGAAGGCAGAATCATGCTGGCCCGAGCAGGCCGATTCGCGTGTGGCTGAATATTCATCATGACTTCTGCAAGAAACGCATTAGTATTTGTTTTTCAAAACAACCTTCAAGTCGCGCCGATGTTTATAAAAAATAAAAAAAAGTAAGAAATAAAAAAAGGTGTTAATAATGCTCATTACAGTACTCGGTCAACAGCTTTGAGAACTTGGTTTATGAATCTATGTGTAGCCAATAGACAATGAAATTGTCCCAAATTCACACATTTTGTACAGAATCAAGTGTAGAGATTACGATAAGCAACATAATTTTTTGAAAACGAGATTCCCTTTTGAAAAATACGAATTTTTATAAGAAATGGCGCGTCAAAAGTTTGGAAACTTCTCAATTCCACAGCGAATTCGGCAAAATAGCTCTCGAATCTACATGATAAATTAACTATCGATGAGTAGCTGTGAATTTCTATGTCAGCGTCGTTTTTATTGACACGGAGTTGACTATAAAATAATTTTAGGACTTTTAAGTCGAACCCTGCACACTGTGAACTAAATCGCATTGTTTGGTGGGATTCCTAACTGGAATGTGGGTTGAGCGACATGCCAGTTCTTCCGTGGGATGTAGAACTCAATTGACTTTAGATCTCGACTTGGTCGCTTCATAACAGCTTCTTTTTCTGGGTTTAGGAAGGCGGCAGTGAGGAGGTAGGCCTGCATTGGGTCATTTCCACGATAGAAAACCCATCTTTTTCGGCCAGTTCTGACTATCGAAGAGAAGCATTGTATTCTATAGACTGTTCTTGTACTTAGCTTAACCCAACCCACATTTTGCTGGATACATAGAACTGGGGAATCGCCGAATGGTCGGACACATCTCCATCCATGGCAATACTTCCACTATTTCTGAATGTTGGGATCTTATACTCTAAATGAGGTTTCCATTTGACTGAACACTTCACAGGGTCCACAACATCATTTTTAGGAAGATAGAAATCCTGCTCGTCGCTGAGGACAAAGTTTTACCTCTCGCCTCCGGTCCATGTTAGCCGTTAGTGTGCGGAAGCCAGTTGGGCCATCCTGCTCTTGAAGCCCAACAACGGCTTCTTGTTGGGACATCATCCGTAATATTCACCAGGTCGTGGCCGATGTTGGGCTGTGCTTGGACTTTCATACGATTAGGTTCAAACCAGGAAAAATCGTCTTTTAGTTGGGCATATCGGGGTACGGGGCGTGCCAACCACCCTTCGAAGTATTTGAGGAGAGGGCCAATTTTCTGTGAGAATACTTTTTTGTGAATGATCATTCGTCTTATGCTTACTCGGCTCCAAAAACACTAAAAACATTCGATAATATTGCTTTCGTAGAGACTGAACTACTAAGAAACAATTTCTATTTCGCATTCCGGATTGCAGGGTTTAAAAAAGGACCTCCCATGGAAAAACTGCTTCCTTTGCATATAAATTCATTTTGAACACTGAAGAGCTACTAATTCATATGATGTAAGAACAAAAAGTTGCCAACACTTTTGACGGCATCTGATAAAAATCTTATTTCTCAAAGATGATTATGGATTTTTAGGAAATTATCCCTTCCCATCGTATTCTGGACTTGATTTTGTATGTCATATCTAAATTTGAGGCAATTTCGTTATGTGTCGGCCGCGCTAGATCAAAAATAAAAAAGTTTCCAAACTTTTGACCGCTACTGTATATTCGAAGTGCTCCGGTATGATCATCATAAATAATTAATACAGGTTCCTCTATGATTTCGTTCAACTATTTCATCGTGAAAATGGAATGCGACGGCATTTCAACGCGACCCTCTCTATGGCTTAGACTGCTAGGTGGATCATACCGTACCTGCGGTTTGCACTTATCCTTCTCCTTCTGACGAGCCCATACAGCTCTACCCAGCTGTTTGTTCCATTCGCAGGCCCGCTCCACTTTTTGTTTGTCACTTTCGGTGTTGTACGGACCTTAAGAAAACCCTTCATTAAAATAAATTCACTAAATAATTTTATTTGACCACTGTAAAAAAAGAAAATGAGACTTTGTGTACAGCAGGCGATAGCTCAATCACATCATTGCTAGATTAGTTTTGCGTTTCGTTTCCTGTGACAATATTTGAACTATGAATCCAAATCTTACAAGGCACTTGAACGGTAGCGTTCGCAGACGCCTCTCTCCAGTCCAGTCCTCCATAGCTGTCCACGGTCTTCTCGGGTTGACAGTTGTCTGAAAGCATTCTGATTCCCTCTCCGATTTCATCCATACGTCGCACTCGATAAAGCCTAATGGGTCAGTTGTGGGTGTTTGGCGCAATTAAGTGGCGGCCGCTTGAGTGTGTTGTTTCCGGGTGCTTAGTCGCCGCCAGAGGCGCTTTAAAAGCGGCAACGCAGGCGCGGCGCGTTTGCCGGTCAGCCAAAGCGCGAAATGATGTATCTGTGGGCGATTGGGCCAATCTCGAGGCGCATTCATAATGGATTGAGGAACAGTTATGACCCGGAGATGAAAGCCGTCTCAATGTTGCGCAACCACGCCGCTGGAGCGAATACGATGGGATAGACGCCGTGTAATCAGACGCGCGTGTAAACGTGATCGGCTGGACGGAAGCGCTATGGAAATTTAACTCCTCATAGCTTTTAAAGAGGAAATGGTATGGCCATCAGTCATGAAGTTTCTCAATTTTGTCACGCAGTAACATTTCCAAATTTCGACCATCCGATTATAAATGTTGACTAACCAGTCTTATCGCATCCGACGCCTACGAAACCATGAAAGCACTGGCAATGAGCGCCACGACTGTCCACGAACTGCTCGAGACGGTTGAAGGCACCGTAGTAGCAGAGTGGAACACCTCCAGAGGAACAGTCTCCATTACAAGACAAATCTAAAACAATTCCTCTGTCAGACGCTGGAGATTTCTGTAAACACAATTGAGGATACGGTACCGTTTTGGAAATACAGTAAACCGCTGCCATTCGCTGGGCGTTTCACCATTGGCGTCCAATGCTGACACCTTGAATGTGAAGTTACCAGACGGTGAGATCGCTACCTGTAATTGAGGTTAACTAATCGATGCAAACTTCTAAATTCTCATCAAAATCGCACCGCAAGCGCTGGAAAGGAACCTAGGTGGGAGCGGTTGTTTGGGTCTTTCAGTTGTGGAAGAGTGGGTTAAGAAAGAAAAAACCTTTATAAACTAAATAATTAAAATGGTTCGTTTCGCTCCTTAAGTCCACCCACTCTTCCACAACTGAGAGACGGGAGGACGGCGCAGAATGACACAAGAAGTTGGTACCGGCTGCACTAGTTTTTCTTCCTTTGTCATTTTTTTATTTCTCGATATCACAATTGACTTAGACACAAGAACATTTGAAGAGGGGTTCCAAATTTAGAGCGCCAGCAGACGGATTTTGAAAGTCTCACAAAGGTGCGGTTTTTTTTTGTCATTTGCAATATTCAAGTTCCTAACCACAAAGCAAATCCAGCAAACTGACCTTGGTGAGGGCTACTGTTCGTCTTGCATCCAACTCCTCTTCGTAGTGCATGCTTTCGCCTCTGGCTATGGTCAGTCGATACTTTTCTGGGTGACCATAAGAAGGTGATTCCCATTCGAAGATCTGATAGTCTTCAGTGGCAACGTTCACTCGTAATCCTCGCACCGCTGAAATGCGAGTTTACTCAGTCCTTTACCAATCTTACACAAACGTAATTCATTTACGTGATATGGTCACAGGGACGATCGTAACGTTGGCGAGAGTGAACAGCTGTGGACTACCGTAATCGATGGCGAGAACCTGTGAGAAAAAATCAATTACGGTAGCTGAAGGATTTTTCTAGGTTCACCGACCTCCATGCGAATAGGTTTGAAAGCTATTTGTGTGGTAAGTTCCTCCTTCAAAATCAGTGTACCATCAGAATGCACTGAGAAGAACGGCTGTTCGTGAGTGAAACTCAAACTGCGCTCCGAATTGTATATGACGGGATCGTTGTCGTGTACCTGAAGGATGGTGGTCAGATTAAGAAGTAAGATTGTGGAATTATTCCCTTCAAAAAGTGCCATTCGCATTGGTATTGAAATAAGAGGCAAGAAAGTGGTCGTTGGGAATTTGAGGCCAAAAAAAAACTGAGGATTTCGAGGAGAGGGGGTGATGGAGGAAGTTGGACCACAAGGTAAAGTTCGTTGAATGCTGGGCATTTAATCATTACAATCGCAACTATTATTCCATCATTGTACATAGATCTTTCCAGTTATGTATAATGGATGCTTTCAAAGCAGCCAGCGATTGTATTGAAGAACAATAAACTGGAAGCGCATTGACCGACGTAAGCAAACCAGCCCTTTTGGCGCTTCGGCTGGGACCGTATGCTGAATGTTGGGGAGGGGATGGAGTCCCCGACGGTGGACGGACCACTTCAACTCGGTCCTTAGAACCGCCACAATTTGGTGCTTACCTCAGAACTAAGCCTTAAAGAGGACGGGTCCGTCCCCTCTCCAAGGCTTAGTCCTGGGGTGAGCAAACCAGCCCTTCTGGCGGAGCTGCTGGACCAGCTGCACCACTTGCGTCAGTACTCTCCTATCGTACCAACCGAGTTGAAGTAAACCGTCGACCGTTGGGGACCCCATCCTCCCCCAACATTCAGCAACACGGTCCAGCCTGGAACGCAAAAGGGTCTGTTGCTACTACCATTCGTCCTGCTTGAAACTGACTGATGATCTTTGAGTGGGATGGACGCGATAATGAATGAAAATGGGGTTATTTTTCGAGACAGAATAACCCAAGTTCGAAAAAGCTCAGGTAGCCTTTCCTGATTTAGTGACCGCAAAAGATTATTCTACTCAAACTACATAGCTAGATACAACAGAAGAAAAAAAAAAGCGGCCCGACCTTAACCGGACACTTACTGAACAATCAAAAAACTACGAACAATTAGCTGGCAGTTCAGCTCATTCAGTTTGTTTGTTTAAAATTTATTTGATGGATCCTAAAGATTTTATGGTTTCGTACAGCGACGTCCACAATGTTTACTAAAATGATGAAACCGTGACACTCTGTAATCAGTCAACGTCTTAATTGAATGTTTATGGAAAACTAATGGCTTAATCTTAATCTCACGCAATTACTGGGCCGTAAATCAAAGCCAGACGACAGCCCGTCATTTAGAATAACTTCGTATAGCATAGCACCTCAATCATTGCAATCGTCTGACGATGGAAATCAGAAAATCATGCACCTTTTTTAGAAATTTTCTGCTAATATGTTTTTTTTTCCGAACTCTCTATAGCTTAACAATGTTTCCTATATTTCCCTTACTTCTTACACAACCCATATACTTCAGCACCAAAACAGTCGGCTGCATACACAGAGATTTTAACAGGCTTGATTCAAGCTGAAGGCTGAAGAAGAGTTCAGGTCAACAGTTGGTAGTTGTTCTAGTGACATCCTTCGGCTACTGGTTACCCATTATAACAGCCTAAGCTTTCAGACATTCGTTTGTTCAAGTGCGAACTCACGGGAATTCGGAATCCAATACTGCAGATTGCGTACCGGCCAGAACACCATAAGATTTATATGGCCGTCGATTCACGTACCTCCATCTTTCCGACTTGCTCTCCCACAGTCAGTGTCACTGGCACGAAGAAATGGTACTCAGGCTTGTTGAAGGTGGGCGGATGGTGATTCCGATGAGTGACGTGAATTCGAAAATCGAGCGAATGCATTCGATTACCCGTGCACAGCCTAAATGGCCTCGTAGAGGTGTTTCAGATACTAAATCGAAGTTGAAAAGACCTACAAATGGAGCGTTCCAGTCAGATCGCCAGTTGGCTTCACTCCTGGTAAATCGCTTGAGGTATAAAACGCGTTCCGAGAAGATCTGAAAAAGAGTTCACCAGATTATTTGGAGAATTACTTTTTTCATGCTGCCAGTCACGTACTGGTACTCAATCCAGTCGACGTCCGTCTCCAGCTGTCCGAAGCAGTTTTTCATCACCTCGAAACGGCGCTGCAACTCGACACCCATCGTCAACCTTGTCCCACGACTGGCGCCATCGTAAATGCGGAGTTCATAAACTTCTGAATACGAAAAAAAAACTCCTTTGAGTAATTATGGATGTTAGCTACTGTAAATATTTCACTCAATTCCGAGTACTCAGAAGACTTTTTGGTGACATAAAAAATTTCATTAGAGGAGGTTCCAGCACTCCTCCAACTTCAAGTGAAGTGCGGTAGACTAAGAAAAGCGGCGTGCATCTGTTGCGATGCTGTTTCTGACCCCTAGCAACTGAAATGAATCCTTGAGAACCCTTGTAACCAGGCTCAAGCTAAGTGAGGCATTCCGTGGGCGGAACTTTGCCCGCCTTATCCACTTAGTGACGAGACAAAGAGTTGGAGAATCTGATTACCTTTAAATTAAAAGCGATCGCTGGCCTCAGAAACGATGAGCGATATTTTATAGTAAGCACTAGTGAATCATGAAGAGGTAAAATACATATGTATGTAGCCACTGAAGTGTCTAGACCCATGAGATTTTGGTGCCTTCTTTAGTTACTATTCGTGATTTCTTCTGAACTTCTGAGGGACCGCTCATGTTACATAGATAAGTTCTCACTTGCTATGACGCCACTCATGTCCGCTGTTCAAAGAGGAAATACAGCCTGGGAGCAGATTAGAGCATTACGGAACTGGTAAAGCACCTCCATATTAGATATAGGCGACCCAGTACACCGCTATGGGTAGAGGCAATGAATCGGGCCAGCTCTAGAAACTAGCATTGCGTCGCAGGACATCTTCTGCCAAAATTTCTGGTCGGAATATTATTTTGGCTCTGGGAATGAAGCCGCCCCAAGACCATTTTGACACCCATCTGAAGTAAAGAATAATAACGATAAAGGAAAAAGCATTTGCCGTTCTACGGCCATTGATCACCTTTCCTGGAATGGCGGCCCACGCATTCTACTTCCGTTTGAACATTCGTAGTGGCGATCCCCGGACCACTAGCGTGGTAAGCGTGCCACTTGCCACTACACCACTTCCGCCAAAGTGGAAGAGGAAGTAAAGAATGGTTCTACCAAATGTTAAAATTCAACAGCTCTATGAGGTTTTTTCGCTTAAACTGAAACACCTTTGATTTTTTTATGTTCAAATGGGTGCACCGTGTAGTGCAGTCTGAGAGGAACTGTTGCTAACAGCGGAAATCCCTACTCAGTTTCTCGCGTTGTAATCGAGAAAAACGAGGGCGGAAGTGGTGTAGTGACAAGTGGCGCGCTCACCACGCGAGCGGTCCGGGATCAAATCCTGGGTCGTGAGTCGCCCGGGCCAACCAAGCCTTCCATCCCTCCGGGGTCGGTTAATTGGTACCAGACTTGTCTGGGAGGATAAAAACACTGACTTGAACATCGGCTGGCCCCCGCAAGTCATTGTATAGGCCACATCGCATTCAAATGCCACTGCGAATGTACAAATGGAAGTAGAATGCGTGCCGCATCCCAAAAAGGGATTGATCAACGGCAAATGCTTTATCCTTTATCCTTTATCAGAAAAACGAACTTCATTTTTAATTTTCATTTCAAAAGAAATTGCGTTCGATTTAATACCCGAACGCACCTGAATGAGTCGTCTACCCACTAATGGCACGGTGTATGGAATGAAGAAGCTTGCGGCGCTTGTTTGTTATTCCGGCGCTTCTTGTAGTTGTTACTTCATTCCCGCAAATTCCGTACACAGCGGACTCTCCCAACAAGCGAGGCCACGCTACAGAAAATGAAAAGGCGACTGCAGGTGGTGCTCTGCGCAATGTCGCGTTGGAATGAAGCGATCCAACAGAAGTAAGACAGGGCAGAACTGGTTCACCGCTATGGCGTTAAAAAAGGTGAGAAAAAATAACAGAAGTTTTCAACAACAAAAACAATTCCTGGAATTGTCAAGGTATCCCCACGCTCAGTTCTCCCTGCCGGCTGACTGCCTATGAAGGCGACACGTCAATCGGTCATACACTCCTGCAAACTTATCATATTTTGCCTTTGCGAACATGGTTCTTTGAGACCTGAATGATATTTTTCTTCTTCACCCGCACGAAGACGAGCAAATTATCCGGAAACATTTCTGTCAAGCGGACTGACCGAGCGGCACCAGCCCACAGCCCCCCTCCCGTCACCAGATGGTCCATTGTACACATCCCCCCGTTGGTCCGCAGCCTTTGCCAATCGCCAAGCCGATAAATCTCCTTCTTAAATGGATTAATGACGCGATCGAGTTACACATGCGCAAAATTGTGGTAGAAGAACGTTGATCTATTGGGCCATTATGCGGTAGAGTTATTTGGTGACTGCGTTTGAAATGCAGTCGTTTTCAGGAGAGAATGCAAATGGAGGGAGCATTTTGAGGCCTAAGGTCATATTTGAAGCATTGAGCGGGTTTGCACAAGCGAACGCTTCGAAGACCCACCGTTTTCCTTGTTTCTTGTTAACAGAAATTGGCGCTCACTGACGCAGTGAAGCTCAGGTGGTGAAGATGATCTCTGGAAGGCGCATGGAAGTAGGGGTCAGGTAGGCTTTTTTGACACTAAAGTTCTATCTGTTGAGACAACAAGTAGCCGGCAAGAAAGGGCTTCCGCTGTCACTTATAATCTGATTGATATAATGAACGACAGCAAATTATGCCGCAATATAGACAGAACACCGTAATGGCAATATTGATCATAATCCCCGCCTGACAGATCTGCAAAAGGCTTGGAAACTTACCCAATATAGTAACATGTTGTCTAACTATTTGGGCTTTTATTTAAAAAACTCAGGACTCGGCAATCGCAATACAATACCGATGTGAGCTAATCGACAGTCTTGAATTTTTCAAAGTACGTTCAATTTTCGTGGAAGAGTTTATAACCTATTTTGCGCTACGTAGCGGTTAAGGAAAAAGGAGGAAGGAAGTTATTTTTGAAGCAATGAGTTGCTTCTGATTGCTTGTTTTTTTCGCATAGAAACTGCATCCAAAACAGCAATTGTGACAATCAAAAACAAGTCATAATGAGGGCTAAAGCTTTCAAGGCTCATAGTTTACCCCCGATGAGGGTTACCGGCCTATCACGTTGTACGGTGAGTACTGATAAGCTATGGTTGATTTACCATCAAACGTTGGTAAATCAACTATAGCTTAAGGTGAAGAGGTGCCACGATGGTGTAATCTGTAGCAACTGCCCAGAAACAGAACGGATACCCTTCGGTTCCCATCTAGGGCAAGAAGTTTTATCTTATAACCCGGCATTTTCGTATGAGGAGCAATTAGACTTCCAGGGAGTTTGTTGGGCCTGGAAACAAGCACAGTAATATGTCACCACGAGTGTTTACATACAGGCACCAAGAAATGACTAAAAGCTTCACCGATCAATCTATAACAGAGACTAACTAGTATTCTGGGATCAGATTTTAGACCAATTCTCGGGGATACAATACAAACCTTTTGAAAAAAACCTAGTGGTAAAAACGCACCTTCAGATAGCACGGATGCCGAAAGAAATAGAGCGGCTAATATTCGTTCCATAGTGAGGTAGTTAGAAATACGCTCAACGTTCGCTAAGAATACTCAACACACGAATAGCGACCATTCCAGTGAGACAGGGCCAGCTGGAAATACTATGTGATTTTGAAAGGACCACGACCAAGAATGAAGAAAGAGCGAGGATGAAGACGGCAGTGGCAGCGTACGCAGTCTATTGAATAGATTGAGGTTTTTACTCGGTAATTGCATGAGATACAACGCCGATATTCGAGAAGAGCGAAATTAGAGTTTTTTTCACATACGACAACAGCCTTCACAGCGCATATGCCGTATTTTTCAGAAAACCTCAGACGTCTTTGTTGAGCCGTGGCTGGACTCAATCTTATGCTAAACGTTTAAATCATGACAATCAAGTAGATGGAAGAGCCAATTACGGAGGTGACAAGAACTTGGAAGGAATAGCAGATCAACCGAAATTCATCAATCTCAAAAACGGTTATCACCCAAAATGCGAATGTCCATCGGCCGTACGCAAGCTCGCACGCGGGGGCGGTGCCCCATATGCCGTTAATGCACGAGCCCAAACCTCAAACCGACCGCCCACGCCCACCTCGAGAGCACAACATGACAGCCTATCGGGCTGGTGAATATGACAGCCAACTGAAAAGCAGCAGGAGAAGACGACGGCTAGACTTTCGAATGTTATCTGCATGGAGTGGTTTTGACGCCAGATTCGACACCCCTTAGCTATTTTTCATGTGAAGTGCCGGTCAGGCCAATTGTTTATGGGATATCTTTACGGTGCACCGTGACTGTTACGGCCCCAACAAGTGGTCAGGGATATGTATGTTCCCACCCGAAAGGTCAGCAGTGTTGATCAGAAAAATATCTGCATGGAAAGACAATCTTTTTTCCGATTATTTTTAATCGCGGTTAAAACGCGCACACCACATTTATTCTCTTTGCATGAAATCATACGCACATCGTTTACACTCAGGTTGTGAGTCGACCATCACAGCTCCCAAGCTTCACCCTTATGCAATCCAACAGTCAGACCCTGCTCCAGCCTTTAGCCAATTTTGACGTTTCAAAAATATGAACGGACTCACGTTCGCTCATTGGCAATCATGAGTGTCACATTCTTCCCCAGCAGCGTTACCACGTGCTGCAATAAGAAAAAGACTTCCGGAAGAAGCACTGACAAGAACGCACCGGCCAAATCAAGGAAGAAATGTCCATGGCGATCCATTTGAGGACGTACTTTTCAAGAGTAGAGCAATTGAAGGGAAAAATGTCGCAGTGTGCAGCAGAAAATGGTCGGACAAAACCAAGGGAAGAATAAAATGCCTCAGGAGGAAGTTGAAATGAAAACTAGTCGGACGGGTCAATAAGATGCCTATCCAGCTTCTCTTCTGCCTCACGACGTGTGCTACGGTGAAGTTATAGAAGATTTATTTATTTATTTATTTATTTATTTATCAATACACTTGTAGGTGTGCATAATTATGCAGAATAAAAAATGAGGAAACACACTTAAGGGGGAAGAAGTTCTCTAGCCATTTGAAATGCACTTCATAAATCAGTTTCGCATCGACGCTGCACCATCCCCACATCCCCAGCCAGGTCCAAATCCAGTAAACGCCGTAGAAAACAGATCTCCTAGCACGGAGAAAGCCGGACCCCAGCGCTCCAATCCTCATCGCAGTGCCCCCACCCAACGCCCCCAGAGCCGCGGATCGCTAGCATGTCAACATTAGCCACATACGGGCCTCAGCGTTTGTGCTCAAAAAGCGAACACAATATATCAAATTTGTGTTATCCTAGATGAGGTGGTGAGGAGTCGTCACTGAGAGGTTGAATTCGGGCCCTAAGTTGTCTCTCAATTAATCGTTGTTCAGGCGAATGCGACTGATACGTCCAATGTCCAATTCCGAATCGATAACGTCTAGCACTCACATGTCCATATATCTAAACACTCTCTAATGCGTTACATCAAGCACAACGAGGCACTAAACGATAGTAGCGGCTGAATGCAGAAGGAATCCATATCTGAATAGATCAATGTTCCCGCTTATCGTTATGTGGCAAATGCCACTTCCGAATAAGAATGACATTAGGGAAACGGAAGAAATCTTCTGAGGCTTTAGATTTGAAATAGGAACTATCCTAATGTACCCCCGTAGGCTATGTAAAAGGTCCACAGAAAGGGCCCAAGTAAAAAAAGGACCACTTTTTTGACCCAGTCGAAAGCATTTCTGTAATCTAGAAATATCTGCACAGTGATTCAATGATTCATGGGTGAGATTAAATCATGATTTTTCCGTGGAATATCCCTTTAGTTGGTACCAAACGTGCCTGGGAGGACTACGAATAGTGAATTATGCAACTCCCACTAAGTATGTGGCCGAAATCACATCCAAATGCCAAAACGATTTCTGATGGAAGTGGGGTGCATGGCGCATGCAAATTTGATCGACCAACGCCAAATGCTTTACTATCTAGCGCTGACTCGAATCCTATTAACTGTGAATTCTGTGTACTGTGGCGTTTCCACTGCGTTTCCACTCTCTCCGAGTTTCCACTACCCCCATCTGCCTGCAGTTTACAGCTTATTGTCCAGTTGTCTACTCCACAAGCAACCTTGGCATGGTACAAAATGTGGCCGTCACAAAGATGTGGTAATCAGCGAGCAAGTGAGCTAATTAAGTAGTCGTTCTTTTCCGTAATGGGGTGTAATGGATAGGCGACAAATGATTGTTTACCGCTGATGTCCGTGTGCTTTCGCCTGCAGTTTGCCAGAAGAACATGAATATTCCTCGTGTTCCCACGATGGAATATGCCCAGTACAAGGTGTAGTGTGGCCTGATCTGACTCCCCAATCCCTAGCAAAACCGCAGTAGGGAGAGAGGCTGCAAGAAGCTGTCGAACATAGGTTTCACGGCTGATTTGGCTAATTATGGTAGATACTCTCAAAAATTTACGGGTGTTTGTCTTTGCAGCACTGCTACGAAGTACCTCTCGCAGCACCCACTTGATTCAGCTAATTCCAAGGCGATTCGGCGCAGCATTTAGCGAGTGAAAAACGGCGTGAAAACTTCATTATCTATAATGACATCAGGGGAATCGTCGGCGTGTCTATCGCATAGCCGCAAAAGCGCTTTGTTTCAATCGACGATCTCGGCCCTTGGGGCCAAGGAATGTTCGCGATTGAGTGAGGTATTCCATAAAGGGCTGTTTGCTTTGGTCAAAAAGGGCGGTTGGCCGGCGGATGATGGTGTGTGCTTTGCTTATTCATGACGGATTTCAGCTATAGCCATATGCATTGAAGAGAAGTCAATGAGGTGCGAATAAGGAGAGGAGCGACCGGGAACGCCGAAAAAACCATGAATACAGATATTTACCTTGAACAGAGAAGTTTTGCAAGGAGCTGTAGGGGTGCAAGCTGAGCAGGAAATGAGGTAACCCCTGCAATATAGAGCGGAAGTATTTCACACAAGAACGTTTCTTTTACCAATACAAGCCGAAATATAAAGGATAGCGCATTCGGCTACTTCAATCCTTTTCCCGACGCGCCATGTATTGTACTTCCACACGAAATTGCTGGGCATATTGATTCATTTTTTGTATTCGGTCCATGAATGAAGGACATGTGAGAACGAGCCGATAAAAAATCTGTGTTCCTGTACTACCAAAGGAGCCTGACATCCATATCACCGACCCCTAAGATAGGGAAACTTGCTCGATCTGTCCGGAACTTCGACCCAAGGCAGGCGCGTTGTGGGTTACTTGCCACTGCACCATCTCCCCGTAGAGAAACTTGATTAGCGGGAGATATATCTGAATGTTCTTTCGTTCCTATCTTCTAATTCTCTCCAAAGATCCGAGCGTGAATAAGAACTTCTGAGTTCCGAATAAGCCTATCAAAGCTTCCTAACTCGAGCGTTTAAACCCGCTGGTGAGAATGAATTTCATCTTTCGTTGATGTTTCAAACACTGAACGCTACATATTGCATAACTATAACACTTTGGACGAGGTGTGAACATTCGACTTAAAATCCGCTGAAAGCATCACTCACTCTCGCGTGCATGAGGAACACTAAGATGTGTTAGAGCACAAAAGACACAAACGCTTGATAGCTTGGTAAAGTAGGAAAAAAGATGAGCAACATTAAATTGTTTAGCGCTTAGCCCTTATATAAGTGGAGCTTAAAAGCTTTCTCAGTAGTTATTGGGCAAGAACAACTGCAGTTTCACAGCAGCCATGGAAGGTTGCCCGTTGTAGAGTTCACCAAATCAGAGCTGTCCTTTTGGCTGTTCTTTATGACCACTTGGAAAAGGTGATGCTTAAACGAAAGGCTTGATAAAAAAGCAGTAGCTGAAGTGAAAGGATATAAAACTGCAGAAACAGTCTTCATTCGGTCAGTTCCACACAAATAGCAAAATGCCGTACCCGAATAGCAAAAAGGAAAAGTAGGGCAAGAAGACTGTGGCGCGTGGTCCCTGAGCTACCTGACTCAGTCCTTCAAAAAGCGTCAGTCAAAATTTTTGCCACACGAAATATGCCTCAAGGATCCCCCCACCTCCTGAACTGCGCTCGTTCCCTGGCCTGGCGCGTTTCGCACCGTTAGGTCTATGGTGGGCGCCGTCCTCGGTCTGCGCTGCAGCTTTTTTCGACATGGAACATATAAAAAAAGCTTGGCTTTATTCAACTTCACAATCTCACCATTTTGATTACGGCGGAACTTCGTCTATAGGGGCAATTCGGTGCTCTGATGACGAATACGACATTTGTTTTCAGCGCTTCGAGCTTTGGATGGGTGGGGGGGGG